TCAACCATTATCTTTATATTTCTCCCCATCTTTTGAATGTAATGAATTGCTTGGAGAATTCAGCTAGCAGGAGAGCCTTTTGAATTCTCGCCTAGCTACCCTTCAGGGCATTCTCAGAGGTTATCTCTGCAAGGCAGGTGGAAGGGAAGACGGGAAGCTTAACCCTATAAGAATAATTATGATGTATTATTAGCAACTAATGACAATCTAATGGAGAATTTTCAATAAAGATACTGCTGGCTGCAATTCTTCTCTGTCATGGACATAAAAAGGGGATGCTTAATGACTTCAAAGTTCATAGCAGTTTCTCTAAATAAATGCAGTTCATAGAAAGCTGATGCTTTCTATACACAAGGCATTTCAATAACATGAATACATGGTTTGAATATTGATATGGCTCTTACAAATGTAGATAGAAATGGGATAATGTCACTGATTAGATGATAAGACCACTAGCTGGAATTAAGAATGTATCACATCATTGCAGCAATTGCAAAAAAAAAAAAGTAGAAATCCAAGATGGCAGAGCTGTCTGCAACATTTGAGCTATATACATGGATTTTAAAGGGTTGTGGAAAAATGGAAAATGTTACTAAGAGGAAGAAAAACATGGTGTAGGAATGACTGGAATAATGAACCATTTCAAGGTGATGTGGAAGCTAGAGGAAGAAGCACTTTAAATTCTGGCTTACTCAGAAAAGGGGGTGTGCAGAGAGAAATAAAAACACCTTTGTCAGGATGTGGTGACTTTGGTGGGACTGGTTGCACTCCCCAGAGGGTTAATCCTTTGGCCTTTGCTCCAGTTCACTAACCACACATACCTTCAGAGTCCTAATCACCCTAAAGAACACACAAATGGTAACCTACATCTAGTCACACTAAGGAGAGTGCTTGAAAGAAAGAGGGGAAAGAGAAAGATCCTTTAACAAAATACAACATTTATTCATTCTTTAAAAAAAAAAAGCCCTACAGAGGATAGTCTCAGAAGGACCTTTTTGAAATATGATTAAAAGTATCTCCCTAAAACCAAAAATTAGCATTACATATGTAAGCCCCTACTCTGAGGTTTCTTCCATAACTCTCACTTACATTTGCTGGCTGGGTTCCCAGGGGGAGGCTGATTATTCCTCTCCTTAAGATTCCAGAAGTAACTCTAGGAGCTGGACTATCTATTTCTGTTGGTCTTGGTCATGAGTTCCCATAGGTGTGCTCACTATTTATTTTTATCCAGACTTAATTCGTTTTTAGAAAGGGTATTTACTAAGCAGATATAACAAAGACAGGGAAAGAAAGAAAGAAAGAAGAAAGAAAGAAAGAAAGAAAGAAAGAAAGAAAGAAAGAAAGAAAGAAAGAAAGAAAGAAAGAAAGAAAGAAAGAAAGAAGAAGAAGGAAGAGGAAGGAAGGAAGGAAGGAAGGAAGGAAGGAAGGAAGGAAGGAAGGAAGGAAGGAAGGAAGGAAGGAAGGAAGGAAGGAAGGAAGGAAGAAGGAAGGAAGGAAGGAAGGAAAGAAGACAGAAAGGGAGAAAGAAAGAAGTATAAAAAAGTTGTTACAGAAATATCCTCCTCTCCTCAACCCAGATCACACAAAAGATCTTTTAGGAGAGAGGACTCAAACGTAGAGAGCATATGTGCCCAAAAGGTGAATTCACACTACTGAAAGCCCTTTTCTCTTTCAATGGAGTCTTCATGAAGTTCTCCTTAAGTAAAGCTGTCCACTAGGCTATGAGGGTTGGTGACCCTGTAGAATCATCTCGAGGTTGCCTTTCTTCACTGTGTTTAGTTTTGTCATTGGGGTGTCTCTCAGCTCCTAATGTGGATGCTGCTTTCAGCCAATTCTACTTTGAGTAGACGATGGGTACCAATACCAAGGGTATACCAATACTCTAGATCATCCAAACTTTCCAAATTCACAAGATCATCATCTGGTCAAATAGAGGTGAAGAGTAGAGAAAGAGAAAGAATATCCTCTTCTTCTCCTTCCCTGCCTCTCTCCAAAGGCAATTGTCTCTTGGAAGTTCTTCACTACTGGATTCAACCAACGTTGACTGACTTGCTATTGGAATATTGAAACTCCCAGGCTGACTTGATGCTTTATCCATAGCCTCAAAGGGCATGAATGATTCTCTTCAAATACTCACAAGAGTGACACCCATGATCATATGTGGTGTCACCTGCTTTCATCCAAAGACCCAAAGGACCAATAATCTGTCAAATTGATTGAGAACTTATTCATATCTAGTTTACTTTTTGATTGACCAGGTGTAGTTATCTGGCCCTTCTGCAATTAGTTGGGGTATGGGTAGACCCTCACATATGCAACGAGGAAGCACTAAAAACTTTTCCAATAAATATAGGAGTAAATCAAGGATGCCCTTTTCCTATAGCTACCTAACAATTTTCCTAGAACTGCCAGCAGTAGTAATAAGACAAAAGAAAGAAATAAAAAGTACAAAAAATAGACAGAAAGATGACAAAACTATCTCTATTTACTAACAATATGATGATTTACTTAGAAAATCCCAGAGGATAAACAAAGAAACCAACTGAGACAATTAGCAGTCTCAGTATAGCAGCCAGGTAATAGTAATAATAAAATAAATAAATAAATAATAGCAATAATAAAGGTAGCCAAATAAACCCACAAAAATCAAAAGCATTTCTAGCGGTAACACATTCCAGAAAGAGAAGTTCCATACAAAATACCTACAAAAAGCATAAAATATCTGGGAGTCATTCTCCCAAGGTATACTCAAGGCCAATATAAATACAATTACAAAATATTCATAAAGCTAGAAGGGACCTTAGAAGTCATTTAGTATAGAACTGTGAAACAGCTCTCTAACTACATGAAGGCCACAAAATTCTGGAATCCATCAAGAAACAAATTAAAATGTAATTGAAATATGTTTGACAAATAAAAATACAATACAATATAGATAATGCTGATTTGTAGCTTTCTAAGTCCATTACGGTGTGGTTTTCATAGTCAATATATCTAGCTAAGTGTTACAGTATATAAGAGTGGTAGGCCTGGAGTCTGAAAGACTCATTTTCTCAAGTTCAAGTCTGGCTTCAGACACTTACTGGCTGTATGACCCTGGGCAAGTCATTTAACTCTGCCTCAGTTTCCTCATCTGTAAAATGAGCTGGAGAAGGAAATGGCAAACCACTCCAGGATCTTTGTCAAGAAAACCCCAAGTGGGGTCATGAAGAGTGGGACATGACTGGACAATAAGAAGTCAACATACAGTCTACAGGGCTCCTTCTCTATTTAAATTTGACACTGCTGATCCAGTCCAATCCCCTCATCATAGATAAGGAAATCTGGACTTTGAAAGATGAAGTGACTTACCCAAAGTCACATAGGTAACAAATATCTGAGGAAGGATTTGAACTCGAGTCCCTTGAATCCTGACCCATTTCTTTATTCTACCACAGTGCTTTTCAGCCTGCCTGATTCTCCTAAAACTGTTTAAAAAAAAAAAAAGATGACTACACACCGTAGCACTCTAAAATCAAGAAGTTAAACTTTAAAGAATTTTGAAACTTGAAAGTAGTAGCTTTGAGAAAAGGGAAGGGAAGTCAGCTATACAAAGGGCAGTCAATTTTTGGAGCTCATCCCACAGGGTCACACAGACTGAAAACAGAAATCAGTCTGAACAGGAGGCAGATGAATTTGTTTGTGATGGAGCCCCAGTGAGTCCTGGCTACGGGGAGCTCTGCCCCTGGCCCCCAACCTTTGGTGGTTGATGTCATGGAAAACAACTTTCCTTTTTGAAAAACTGTCAGGCAGCCTGCAACTTTAAGAAGAGGAAAGAAGAAAGATGGGAGAAAAAACAAAATAAAGGGAATGTTGTGAGCCGGGCAGGGATCCTTACCTCTTAACAGAAAGCTAATGACCAGGCTTCCAACAGGTTCTCAAAGCCTTACTCCAAAGAGGCTTTTTCCTGACTAGCAATCCTTTCTGTGAACTCCACAGGAGGAAGAAGCCCTGATCAGACAGGTCCAAAACCCTTTGACCACCATAAATAAAACAACTCTGACCTCAGAAAACCCCCCTGCAGATCTGTATACGCCTGTAACAGGGTAGGTCTGACTGGTGACAGTAGACAATACCCCTGCCAAATGCCCATTTGTCATAAAATCTGGCCTCAGACACTTACTAGCTATGTGACTGTGGCCAAGTCACTTAACCTTTGTTTGCCTCAGTTTCCTCAAATGAAAAATAGGGATTATAACCTCCCAGGGTTGCTGTGAAGATCAAATGAGAAAATATTTGTGAAGTTCTTAGCACGGTCCCTGGCACATAGTAAGTGCTATATGAATGTTAGTTGTTGTTATTAATATTATCATTATTTGTCATGGAGTACGCGCTAATCTTGGAACTTCTTTTAGATAGAGTGAGGAAAATGTAAGCTCCTTGAGGGCAAGCACTGTTTTGTCTTTGCATTTCATGTAGTCTGTAGTATGCCTTAAAATACTTTGTCGAATTGAATTGAAATGATTTTCCCAGCTTCTAGCTTCCTAAAAAGTATTCTGTACCAGAGCAGAAGAGCGCCTCTTGGCCAAGAGCTGGGTGGCATGCTGCTGCATCAGTCTTCTGAAGCCACGATTGATCACAACTTTGACAGAGATGTGGCGTCTCTCAAAGTTGTTTTCTTTGCTATGTTACTGTGGTTATCATGTGAATCGTTCTGGCAGAGAGGTGTTGGACCAGAGGGGCAGACAGAGATAAGCAGTTTTAGACATGGCTAATGGATTGATTTGGCTGGCTTGAATATAGAGGGTGAAGAGTGAGCAAATAGTGGTAAAAATGCCTTCCTCAAGAAGACTCAATAAAACATTTTAAAAATGCACATAAATAAACAAAAAGAAACACAAAGAGGGGACAGATATAGCACAATTTTGTTGTTATCTTGTTAAATTTACCATGTGCTGTTGTTCAATCATTCAGTTATCTCCGACTCTTTGTGACCCCCATGGACCATACTGTTTTCTTGGTAAAGATACTAGAGTGGTTTGCCATTTCCTTCCTTCCTAGTGCATTAAGGCAAACAGAGGTTAAGTGACTTGCCCAGGATCACACAGCTAGCAAATGTCTGAAGCCAGAACTGAACTCAGGTCTTCCTGACTCCCGGCCCAGCACTCTATCCACTGAGCCACCTAGCTGTTAAATTTACCACATACTTAAAAACAGACTATGTAACAGAAGTTCAGTTTCTTAAACAAACTTCTTTCTTGTTCTTTATATATTAAAATACTTCTTAATGATTATAACATACATAATAACATTTTTTTAAAGAACACTCGTTCCCTAGACCATGACAGTGTGGCGAGGGAAAGAAGGGACAAGAGAAGAGAAAAGAGCAACATTCAAACAAAATAACTTAGTTGAGATGTTCTTTGTACTATCCATATATTAATAGATGGCATTTACAGTAGTATATTAGCATTTACCCCCTAAATCCTGTCAAAGGTAGTTATTTATTACATATGCTTTATTACTCAGGCAAACTGGATTTTTACTTTCCCTCCAAATACTCCCCGTACTTTCCTTATGAGTTCCTGCTCATGGGATTTCAGAAATGCCACTCCCACCTCAGCATCCCCTTCTTTGTCTCAGTGTCTTACCCACCTTTCAGGGACCCAGCTCAGAGACCACCCATTCAGGAAAGCCTTTCCTGATTCCTCCAGGTGAAAATGATCTCTCTCTTTTGATCTCCTACCACCTCTCATAAGTATTTATCACTTTCTAATTGGCATCTTCAGTACCTGTGGGCAGATGTTTCTTGGAGGAGGTATATTCAGCTTCTTACCTTCCCTCTTAGATTATAAATCCTTTTAGAGCAGGGAGCTCTAAAAAGGCAGGGAGCCTTTTATTCTCTCCCCTAGCACTTAGCACCGCTCCCTGCCTGTGGGGAAGCAGCATGGCATAGTGGGGAGAATCTTTGCACTACTTGAAGAGGATGGGGGCTTCGGCCCTGCCTCTGATGCTTGCCATCAATCAATTTGACCAAGCAGCAAGCCACTGAATCTCTGTTGTAAGTCTGTTTTCTCATCTTTAAAATGGAAATAATCATTGATTTAAAGTTGGAAAGGACCTCCGAGATTATCGAATCCAAACCCTTCCTTTTATAGATGAGGAAATGGGTCCATACAGGGGAAGGGTCACAGAGGGAATAAAAGTCAGAGCCAGCGTTTGCAACCAGGTCTCCTGATTAACAAACCACACCATAATAGCTCAAATACTTCACTGGGCTATTATGAGGGTCAAAAGGATCCCGTACATTCAGCATTTTAGAAACTTTAAAGGGCTATGTAAATGTTAGCTGTTATTGATATTAGTATCATAAGAGGTCCTTACGAAATGTTTGAGGAATGAATGAACAAGAATAAAGGTTCAAACAAAAAGGGCTTTCTGGTTAGCCAGAAAATTCAATTACCCAGAATGCCTCCATTCCCTTAGCATTTCAGTCAGTGGCAGGTTACATACAGCATATATTAAGAGGGTAGTGTAACCTGTATACATCATAACGTACAAAACCGAAATTCAACATCGAGGTGAAAGTCCAACAAATCCACCCCAGGGAGACAAGTAACATCTGCCTCCTTCCCTTCGACTAGACAGGAGAATATTGCCTTTCAGCAGAGAGCCCTGCTAATTTGATCAGGAAATCGAGATTCCTGAAAAGGAAAAGGCATTCTATACCATTAAAAAAATGGTTTTTTTCTATCAAGGCTACATTCTCTGGGATCTCTGTCATAAATTATTTGTGACTAGAAGTCAATTGTTTATCTTGCAGGAGCATTACCATTTCCTTTCCTTCATATATCTTCAGTGCATTATTCTGGGAATGGGATCATCTATTTCTTCCTTCTCCTTCTCTTCCTCCTCCTCTTTTTTTCTTCTTTTCTCCTTCTCCCCTCCAAATGCTTCAGTCATTTACAATTCACCTTCTGGCAAGACTTCCTAGGATGATCGGCTCTGGAAGACCGCAAAAGAAATTACTTCTTGCCTCCCCTTGTTCAAGAAATATACAAAAGGCCAACAAAGCAAATCTTTAATTCAAGCTAACATTAGAAAACCACCAACAGAAATTCATCTTTTCACAGAAAGGCAAGGGCAAGACAGTAAGCAGTCTGTACAGAATACAAAAAGCTAGAAGCCAAAAGGCCCTTCTCTCAAAACATGGAACCCAGGACCTGCCCTAAAAATAATTTTTTTTTGTTTAAAATACAAGCCTGGAGTAATTGTGTATTTGTTGTGGATTGACAGCTAAGTTGGTCCTGGGTTTTGCTGTCTTTTGACAGCAAATAAGTGGGTAGGGAAATGCATTCTTGCAGGCCTTTTGTCAGGGAAAATCATTGTCAGAAAATTGCCCCTTAACGTACAAAAATATTTCCATACTTTATAGCACTTACATGGTGAAGATGGTCATTAAGGCTAACAGGGCTGTCATATAAAGAATGGTTCTATTGATGGGCCTTTAATTTGCCGGAAGACTTTTTACACAGTGCCCCAAAGTGGGAGGATGTGAAAATGGGATTCAAGCAGTGTGCTTCATTTTGGACTAACTTGCTAACAATTGGGTTTATTTTTAATGGAAACTCTGGGAGCCCTGCTGTACTTTTATATTAGGACCTGCAGAATAATTGTCAAATGGACAAAAGGAAGGAGCTTTTCAGACTCCCAAACCACACCCCATCCACTGTCTGTCTAGTGATTATCAACAATTATTGCAAATCAATAATACACCAATTGTCACAGCGCCAGTGGTCACAACTGGGTTCAAGTCCAGCTGCTGACACATACTATCTCTTTCAACATGAGCCAGTCATTTAACATTCAGTGCCCAGGAGCAAGTAACAAAGATTAAGTTGGTAGGTGGGGGAAGGGGAAGGGAAAGGAATAAGCATTTATATAGCACCTACTACGTGCGCAGCACTTCACTAAGTGTTTTTTACAAATATAATCTCATTTGATCCTCTCAACAACCCTGGGAGGTAGATGCTGTTATTTACAGTTGAGGAAACTGAGGCAAACAGAAGTTAAGTGATTTGCCAAGGGTCACATTATTAGAAGGTGTTTGAGGCCAAATCTGAACTCAGGTCTTCCCAACTTCCCTACCGTGCCACCCCCTGCCTCCCCTGGTGGCTAGTTAGTGGAAGGGGATTTCCATGCCTGGAGTTCTCTGCATCAATAAGATCACAAGTTGGAATTTTGAAAAAAAAACACTCAAAAAGTTGGATGGTGTTTTGTTTTTTTTTCTTAAAGAGCTTCTTGGTTTTATAGCTTGAAATGATAATACAATTATGAGCCCAATTATGAGCCCTTTAGTGGCAGAGCACAAATGAATTCACTCAATCTACAAAAGTTCTCTGAAACCTTGAGTCCTCTCTTTCTCCTTCCTTCGCTCCCATTGCCCACCTCTTTCTCCTTTTCCCTTTCTCACACACATCTATCCCAATTACCTCATTTTCAAGCTATTTTGGCCGAAGGAGAAACAGCCATGTGATAGCGGCTTAGAGTGCTGGATTTGGTTGGTATATTTGAATACCAGTTCTACCACTTCTATGTATTTGAGTAACCCTTAAACATTTCATTTCATTCTTATTGGCCCTAGTTTCCCTCTCTGTCAAATGAAGAGATATAATTAAATGACCCTTCAAGTTTATTCAGGGCAGATTGGTGGAGCAGTGGATAGAGTGCAAGGCCTGGAGTCTGGAAAACTCTAAGTTCAAATACAGCCTCAGACATTTACCAGCATTGTGATCCTGAGAAAGTCACTTAACCCTCTTTGCCTCAGTTTCCTCATCTGTAAAATAAGTTGGAGAAGCTAATGGCAAACCATTCCAGCATCTTTGCCAAAAAACCCTAAACAGGATCACAGAGAGTTGGACTTAACCAAACAACAAACTTGCATTGACTTAATAATCCTCATTTGATCCCTGCAACAACCCCTTGGAATGAATAGTTCAAAGATCATTATTCTCAATTCACAGAGAGGAAGCTAAGAGTTAGGAAAGTTAAGTGATTTGCCCAAGGTCACACAACTAGTAAGTAGCAGATCTAGGATTCAAATCCTAAATTGACCCTAAATTGAATGTTTATTCTATCCCATGGGTCTATTCTTAGATTAAAATATACTTCAGTGGTTATGGTATAGGTCAGGGGTGGGGACCCTGCAGCCTCAAGGCCACAAGTGACCGTGTAGGTCCTTGGGTGAGGTTTTTGACTGAGTCCAAGTTTTACAGAACAAATCCTTTTATTAAGGGGATTTGTTCTGGGAAGTTTGGGTTCGGTCCAATGGCTGCACTTGAGGACCTAGAAGCCACAAGTGGCCTCAAGGCCAAAGGTTCCCCACCCCTGGTATAGGTAAAAGAGAAAGCAAGCTATACATAATAGAGATTCACAATTTCATGTGCAATTCTTTTTTTTTACATTACTTTATACGTGGAATTGCTGGTTTTATTTGGTATTTATGTTCTGAATAAAAATGACTAAATTTTTAAAAATAAAAAATGCTTCAATGGATCTGCACTCATCACTTCAGGTATATATCTCCAGCCCATCCTGTGCTACTCTTGTACAAGTCCTGCGGTAAATCCACAATAGGAGATCCATCCATTGTGCGACTACCCTTTCTGGGATTCTCCTGACATTGCACAGATACCAATGGAGCTTGAGGGTTGACCATTGGTTATCCTTTACTCTCACCACATGACCAGTCCATCTTTTTTTTCTGGCCACAGGTTTCTCTGATGATATCTTTTTTGCCAGTTCTTTCAGTAATCTATCTCATATTCAGAACCCACGTGATAAAGCTCTCACGTGTAGAGTATCAACAGCTAAGTTCATTTTCACAGATGGCCTGAGATAGGATGAAGCCCTGAGTTCTTTCTCATCGCTCTTTTGCCATCACAGCAGACGTGGAAGGGGATAGCACAGAACTAAAGACTGGTTTTCATTTTTCCTTGTTTGAACAGTTACCAAAGACAGAAGACTCATCTCTAAGCTCCACCCAGCCTACCTGGTGTCAAGCCTTTCTCTGCTCAGCTGATAGGCTGACACGGGCTGTTGCTGGGACCATATTCAAAGCCTCTCCAACATGGTAGAATGTGTCAGAGCTTGTGCTCTGCTGACAGACTTTGATGACCCAGGGTGATCCCCATGACATGATGGGGTATGAAATAGACCTTTTTTTTTTTAAACACATTAACACATCCAAACTAGTAACTCAAAGAGGATCGAGTTGGGTTGTAAAGCTTCTTGAGGCAGCTAGATGCTCATTGGATAGAACACTGGGCCTAGTGCCAGGAAGACCTGAATTTAAATCTCGCCTTAAATATTTGCTAGCTATATGACCCTGGGCAAGTCACTTAACCCTGTTTGCCTCAGTTTCCTCATCTGCAAAATGAGCTGGAGAAAGAAATGGAAAACTATTTCAGTATCTTTGCCAAGAAAACCCCCATGGACAGTACGGCCTACAGGGTCAGGAAGAGTCAGATACAACTGAACAACAAAAAGCTATCTCAGAACAATGGCTCTCGGTCACCTCTAGATGCCATCTATGAGAACTCCCTAGGCTGAAGAGGAGCTCTGGCCAATAGAAGGATTGGGTTTCATGAGCATTATAAACCTAGAAATGTAAAGTGATCAAAGCCCTCCTCAGAATCCATTCCCATGCCTGAGTATAATGATAATCAGCCTATTAACGTTCACTGAAAATAGCCTTATGCCAGGAAGGTCAGCAGACTTCATTATGAGAAAGCTTAATAGAGTATTTACATTTGAAATGTAAAACTTAACCATTTGGATTCCTCATTGTCATCCATGTGCAAAAGGCAGAGTGGGAGAGTGATTAGCCTAAGTTGATAAAGAGACATTTTTACTTGGTTAAGTTTAGTACCTGCCAAAAACCATGCTTGGAGAACAGCACTCCCCTCACCCCATCTCTAAAGAAGAGTTCTCGGTGACTCAAGGCAGGGGAGCTGCGTTCTAGCCCTGCCTCCTACTCACTCTGTGACCTCAAGGGCATATCATTTCCCTCTCTGGGGGCTTAGTTTTCCTGTCTGGAAAATGGGGTCAGTGCTGTCTACCTTTACTACTTCACCAAGGTGCTGTTATGATTTAGAGAAAATCCTAGAATGTTGTTCATTATTAGACAGAAGGAAAAACACTGTGGATCAGGACAGGTTTTCCAGATAGCCCTCCTCACCCTGCCCCTGCCTCCATCCCCACTGCAATACAATATCTAATAAAAGCCTAATAGACCAATTAGTCTATAAAGCAGTTGTAACCTGAGTCCTTTAACAGCACTGGTATAAAGAGAGTCCACAATGTTTAAAAGTTTGAAAAAGGTAAAAGTGTGATGTCCATGTAAAGTTTAGGACAGCTTAAATTAGAGCTAGAACTTTAAGCCTGTCTAATTCAATCCTTCTTTTTAGAGCGGAGGAAATAGAGGACATGCCAAGGTCATAGTGGCAGAATCCATCGTAATTTTTTAAAGTAAACTCTCTGTGAGGTGGCGGAAAAGGGTAATGGATGTTCTGGCTAATCAAGCCTCTGGTTCAGAGTTTTTGTTGTTCTGTTGTTTCAGTCATATCTGACTCTTCGTGACCCCATTTGGGGTTCTGGTTAACAGAGAGCTAACGTCCATACCCTACAAAAGAGAAACCTAGCTTAGTGGGAAAAGCACTCCAGATTCAGAAGTCTTGTGTTCAAGTTCAAACCCTAGTACTTCCTAACTGTGGAACTTTGGGAAGGTTCCTACCTTCTCTAAGCCTAAGTTTCTTCATCTATAAAATGGGAATAAAAGTATTTGCTTGTTATAGGAAAAGTGTTTCATAAACCTTAAAGTATTATAGAAATGAAAATTATTGTTGACCAATCACTAAGCACTCATTAAGGGCTTACTATGTGATAGATACACACTGGACACTGGGGAGTCAAAGAAAAAGGAGAATGCGGAGTTATATAGTACT